ATATATATATATATATATATATATATATATATATATATAAAATAATATGATTAATACAGACATATATATATACATATATATATGTCTGTATTAACCATATTATTATCATCCTTTAACTGTCTCCAAACTAATTTTCTGGCTTTCTTATCAATTAGAAAGTTCTTTTTTATCACTGGAAATCATTGCTGGCTTTTCTTTTATTTTCTAATCTTTAAACTTTTTCCATAGACGTATAATTTTCTTTTATTGTGTGATTTTTATAAAGATTTCAAAAAAGATTATGTTTCAAATGCTGCCATTTTATGCTTCTCCTTTTAACTTTTTTCTTCACTTTGTTTTATTTTCATTTTGAATGTTTCATTTTACGTTTTTTTTTTTTGATATTTCGTGCCTTAATATATTGATATAATCTAATACAATGCTTTTTGTCAAGCAATGTCATATAAAAAAAAAGAGCTTTTCTATAATAAAGAAAAACTTTCTGTAATAAGTTCTGACTTTGATAAAGCTAGAAAATTAAATAGTTTTTTATTAAATTTGAAATTAGAATGATTAATTACAATACTTTTCCCATTCAGTCACTGTCTTTTCTTCTCTATTTTCCCTTGTGTATTTATACCATTCTATCAATTGTATCATATCATGTATTTTAGATGATAATCCTGAAGACGATCAGTGCGTGCGTCTATCATTTGTGATAAAAAAGCAAATAGTAATTTCTATTCTTATTTATTTCAAATATTTTTGATATATTTGATATTGTTTAATGCTTGTCAATTATTTTCATGTACGCACTGTGAAATAATAAAAAATCAATAAAGAAAAGACAATTTTTCTTGTACAAAAGTTAAATATTTGCATAATTTTTAAATTATTCGAAAAAAAATCAAATCAAATTTAATTTGATAAATATTTATCAAAGCAATAATTAATTTTCTAACATTTATTTCTTACCCTTTAAGTCTAAATAAGATTTTAACCTTTAACCTTTTTTTAAAATTTCTCCTTTTATTTTGTTTTTCATAATTCATTCACTGTTCTTATCTAGCGTCGAAAATATACTTATTTTCCTTATCATTTCCTTGTATTGTCAGCTTTAAGCATTTTGTCATCATTGCCAATCATAGTAAACGATAACTAAGTTATATATAATTCATACTTGAAAAATTAATTGAAATTATAATACTCGAAAAGAGTATTTTCATTTCCAGTAATTATTTGATACTGTTAATTGCTACATTGTTTTTTTTTTTTTTTACTGTGTGTGCGTATCTGTGCCGATCTATAAGAAATTTTATTGGTTATTTAAAAGGAAATAAGAATTATGATAATTGATAAAGATAAGTTAATGCTGACAATTGATAAAGATAGGTTAATGTTGATAATTGATTGATAAAGATAAGTTAATGTTGGTAATTGATAAAGATAAGTCAATGTTCCTCATCCTTATTATTATACGATTTAAAGTTTAGTTATAGATTAATTCAATGATTAATAGTATCATTCCTTCTGTACTACTCTTATTATTACAAAATAATTTTGGCTATATAGCATTCGGTAATGCTCATTTATATTCGGTTAGTTATCTTTATCAGTATGATAGGATATGTTTGTATTTTAAATTCTTTCAATTGTTATTGTGAGAATTCGAATTAATTTAAGAAATCTTCGAAATTAATTTAATTTAATTAATATAATTCTCTTTTAATTAAGTTTAACTTAATCCAAAATTAATTTAATTCTTAATTGCAATTTCATAACTTTTATTGTAAGCATCGATCATTTCAGATAATATTTTACTTCTCAGTCTTTTTTTTTTTTTTTTTGAATCTATCTGGAATGATATGAGAAATTTTGAGTAATAAATGGAATCTATCAAATTATCTTCGTTTCAAAACTACAAATTTAAATTCGAAAATTAAAATTCAAACTTAAAAGAATTGAATGTTCACTGAATTTCTGTTATGGATTTGCGTAAAATTTCAGGTTAAACGATGTTATCAGGAGTTAGAAAAAGGTCGTAAATTTTTACAACAAATTAAACATGAACTTATAGTTGATGAATATAAACGACAAATGCAATATATTCACAGATTAAAGCAAAATTCGATTGAAATGTTTAATTTTGCTACAAATGAAATTAATTCACCCATATGTTCAATGTTTGTTGTTTATTTTTATTATTCAATTCTTTTTTTTTTTAAATATGTTTACTTGGCAAAGATATGAAATTACTCGAGTACTTAATTAGTAGAAATGTAATGAATACTTGATTAATTATGAAGATGGAGATTGATGAAAAATTAAATTATAATTATCAATGTTTTAAATATGTTTACTTAGCAAAGATATGAAATTATTTGAGTGCTTAATTAGTAAAAATGTAAATGAATACTTGATTAATTATGAAGATGGATGAAAAAATTAAATTATAATTGTTAATGTTTGTTCAAATATTACACTTTTTTTTGAATATATGAAATTATTACTCTAAATTGCTTTAAATTTTAATTAACCTAAATGTATTAATTTAAATTGTTATCGATTTAAAGCAATCGAATTTCGTTTAGTCAAATTATTGTTCATTTAAGCCAAAGAAAAAGAAAATATGGATGAATTTTATATTAAAATCTGACATTATCAAATTCAAATTGATGTCATAATTTTTTTTTAAATAAATGAAAATTTATGTAATTGTCTGAAATGTAATTTGGTATTCAGTTGATTTAAATCTACAGCGGTACTGAAATACTTAATAATAATAAATGGAAATATGATGATAATTTAAATATTAGGTAATATTTTAGCTTTGATAAGTTATGCATCACAAAATTTTTTTATCATTTTTCTTTTTTTTATCAGCATCATTATTGATTACAGTATGGATATTTCTATTCTTGTTTATAATGGAACTTAAATTTTAACAAATATCAATGATTATTCCAAAATTTAGCATTAATAATAGTGTTACCAATGATGATAACGATAATAATAATGATAATAGCAATGATGGTATGACTGTATTAATTAACTGGATCAATGAAATGTATGTAAGTTTCTTAAATCTTTGATTGAAATTTTTAAATATTAAATTGGAAATTTCTTTCAATTTTACTTGTTAGAATGGAGACTGTAATTTTTTTTTTTTTCTTGATATATTTCAGAAGGTATAGACCGGAATTGATACAGTAATTTCTAATTCAAATACAATATAGGATTCTTCTCTACTTGTATCCATTTAATGAACAATTTAACATATATGAATATCAATTTAATTTAAAAAAAAATTGAAATTTTTTATTAGAAAATTAGTAAAAATAATTAAATTCTGATAAATAAAAAATTTCTTTTTTGTTTTGATAATTTTTATCAATTGTTAAAATTGTTTGTTGTCAAAAACTTTACTGTAACACTATTTGGTACTTCGAAAAAGAAGAACGAAAAATGGAATAATTAATATTACGAGATTTCATTTTAGGTGTATTAGGTTTTTTTAAAAAAAAAAAATTCCACGTTTGCTTAGTTTGAAAATTGAAGTTATACCTAAAATTTTAAAATTTAACATCTGACATAATAGTTTTATCATTATTGTTATTATTATTAATTAATAAGGAAATCTTTTTTTTTTCATTCCTTTTATTATTATTACTATTAGACAGTAATATTAATTAGTTAGTCTTATCATTATTGTTATTATTATGATTATTATTACTAATTAAAAATTAACAATTGATTAATTCAGAATTATTTATCAAATGCAAAAGATACTTGTGAAGGACCAGAATTTCATAATATTACAACAATTACTATGCCACAATTAGGATCATTTTTTTCATTATTTGTTATCAATCATGGCTTATCATTATGTTCCATTTGTGATCGTATGCTTACAAAACTTGAAACTATCCTTTTCTCAACAAACTCTATGAAATTTACAGTAAGTTTCGAGCAAAAATTGCTAAACATAATCATGAAACAATCATAGCACAGTTTACTTTATCGTAGCACCGTAATCGCTACAGTAATATTTTGATAATATGATGCTACAGTGAACACCAGGAAAAAATTGGTAAACACAATCAAAAAATGTAAGAAAAACAGTGCACACCTTATCGTAGTATTATAATTACTGTAGTAATATATTGGCTTGGCTATTATCATACAGTAATAAATATATCTTACTGTAATTTCGTGCATTTACAAATTATCTAACAATTTCATTATCACTCTTTCGTTGTATACGGTAACATTTAATATTGCATATTTTTGCATTATTGAGCAAATATTTTGAAATATAAAATAGAATTGCAATATTACAATTTTATTTCTTGATTCGATTTTTTTTTTTTACAGTATACCGAGCAAACACTTTATCAGTTTCTTGTTATCCATATACCAACTGTTAAGACGATATGTTCGGGATTAATACCAACTTGTTATCACTATTACAAAACAAATGGTATATAAGTTTATGCTTAGCAATAATTTGTAATTAATGATGAAACAAATTACTCATTAGTTTGGATAATTAAACCAAACTTAATTAAAACTTCCTATAAATGATTCTAATTAAAATAATCTTAAAAATGAGACTAATTTTTTAATATAGATAGTATGCATATGTCCTAGAAAAGAATACAAGAATATTGTTAAAGAGAGAAAGTAGAATGGATTGATAGTTTTAGAATAGCAATGAACATTTACTGATATGATAATATAAGATAATCAATGGAATAAATTGAATATGATTCGAGATGGATAAAATATTATCCTGATATGATAAATTTAAAGCTTATCACAATCACCAATATCATTTTAATCATTCATTCATTCACCAGAGACAAATAAATGATACTTATGACAATTTTTTAAAAAAAAAATTATTAAATATCTCAGGTTACTGTTCTTTCTTTTTTTTTTTAAATTCACTTATTGGTAATACTTCTTGCTTCTAGACTTCTAGACTGCATTTTTTATTACTGATTGGTGTACGTAAAACATTTTTGGCCTTTGACCTCTTCGAAATCCTAAAATGTCACTCACTAGTTTTCTATTATTTGCATACTTTCTAATTTTAACCTTCATCTGTTAACTTAATGAAGTTATATGAAAAATATCAAAGAATTGAGATACATACAATACACACACACACACACACACACATACAACCACAACACACACACAACACACACACACACACACACACATATACATAACACATTAATGATGAAATAATTTATTAATCAAATCGAAGAGGTTGCTAGTTTATTGATATTTTCAAATTTCAAAAAATTTTGAAGCCAATTTCGCCTTTTAAAAAGAAATTTAAAATTTAAAAATTATTATGAAATTTTTTTTTGTTGTTAAAATTTTATATTTAATTGAAGCATTAACAATGACGCCTGCTGGAAAATGCGCTCAATGTAATATTTGTATGGCTACAACAACGTATGTTGAGGTTCTTCTTTTTGAAAAATTCATAAATGAAATATTTCATTTCCTATTATTTCAAAATATTTCATTCCCTATTACTACAAAATATTTCATTTCCTATTATTACAAAATATTTCACTTTCTCTAATTTGTATTTAACTGAAACGTGTGAAAGAGAGAATGAAATATTTTAAAATTTAAATGTAAAAATTGTAGCTTGAAAATTTTCTTATGAAATATTCTAAAATTTAAATGTAAAAATTGTAACTTGAAAATTTTCTTAATTAATCAAACAATAATTAATACAGTTTCAGTTTTCTTTTTTTCGCTAAAATAAATTTTTACAAATTGTTTTTAACTTTCTAAAGTTTTTGCTGTAAAATATTTACTTCAGAATCGGATACTATTAAATGAAATTGTAATGGATTATATTCATGATTGGATCATTGAACAATTTTTGCAAAAAATTTGCATAAAAGCTAGCCAATTATTTCCATCAAATAATCATTGGAATGGAATTAATTATATCTCTGTTCGTTGTGTTATTTTAATTAATTTTTCAAAATTTCAACAAGTTATATTTGTCTTTTATTTTTTCGCTCAATTTTGTTCTAGCAAATCAAATTCAAATTAAATTAAATTCCAATTATGTGCATAATTTTTTTCTAATAAATTCATTATTTTAATCTTTTTCTTTTTGTTTAGTGTATGACATGGACAACAAATTTTGCTAATGATTTGATAAATCGTTTAACAACAAATATTTTACCGGAAATATTCTGCTCTACGGTAAGTTTTAATTTTTTGAATTTATTGTAAAATGAATAACCGGAAGGTTAGAAAAACCGGTAAAAATTATTATAGTACTATGATCCAGAAATGAAACAGTTTCTTGCCGGATTTCTATTCTAACCGGTCAAATTGATTTTATAAAATTTATTTTGCTTAACCTAATTATGTCATTGACAATAATATGGTGTTGTCTTTGTTTTTATAATTAAATAATGCATAAAAAAAAGAAAAGAAAAATTCTTGATGAATTTATTGTCGCAAAATGGATGAGAATCGATTCCAAAAATAGAAATGGAATACATAATCAAAATAGATTCAAAATTATTCCGGATTTTTTTCCCGGAATATCTGAGAGATCGAATAATTTGGATAATAATATACTTTCTCATTCCATTTCTCTCATACCCGTAGAAAATATTCTTATTAACATTCAGTCTAGAATACTGTAAAACATTTGATAATTAGCTTCTTAGTAATTAAAAATCAAAAAAATATAATTTCAAATTTTTTAGTTGAAATTGTAACAAAAAAAAAATCTCAATAAAATTGTAAGAAATATTCAAATTTTTAAATATAAATGTTAATCGTTTAGATTAACAAAAATCATCCCGAAAGTTAAAGGTATTGAGTAATTATATTCGTATTAATTTACTAATATTCATTTATTTATTTATTTTTTTCGTTTCTTTATTAATCATTGCAACTTTTTTTTCTTCTATGGTTGATAACTATTGATAATAGATGATAAAAACTGTTATCACTGTTATATTATTTTATTATTTTGTTGATAAAATATAAAACAGTGTCGTAATTTTCTGTTAGAAAACAAGCGCAGAAGTTTTTTTTTTCTTTTCTTTTGACGAAATTCTATAAAATTATAAAATAAACAAAAAATTATTCATTATTTAAGACAATAAAATAAAATTATTTAAATAAATAAAAAATGAATTAAAATTTTGATAAATTTTATCAAAAAAATTAAAATTTAAACAAATTTTGAAAAGTTTAAATAAATTTAATCAAAATTTAAATGAATATTGCCAAATTTATTTAAATAACAAATATTCGAAAAAAAATCTATCATTTTTTTTTCTCCTCTAGTAAATTTGTCAAAGATAATAGTATGCAAAAATGTTAGCATAATTAATTAATTTAGAACTTATGAATGAAATGTAAATTTTTAATTAAATTATATCTTCAATTTCAGATGTTACATTGGTGTAAACCATATGAAATACCAAGCATTATTGATTGTTTAATGGAATTTTGTGATGAAATTTTTCCGGAAGAATGGCATATAATTTGTAATTTAGCACGAAATGATTCCATTAATTCATCGAATGCCTTTCCATAAATATCTAAATTAAAATCATAAGTAATAAACAAAAGTCATATATCGATACTTATTTATTAATTTTTATTTGAATATAATTATTTTTCCATTTTTGATATGTTGTATATTTAATTCTTCTGATAAACATTTCTTTTTTTGCATTGTTAACATTCTTTTTTTTTTGTCAAAATTATCATTAACAATTAGCATTCATTTTAAAATTGTCAACAGTTATTATTCTTTTTTTTTCATAAATTATATTTAAAATTTTATTTAGAAAAGAAATTAATAATTAAATTTGTTCACAATTAAAGCTTTATTTTTATGAAAAAAATTGTCAAATATCAAATGCATTCAATGTTTTTTTTCCTTTTTTTCATTTCATTTTTTAACAAACTTAAATATATAAATTTATGGTAAATGAATAAAAGCAAAATGTAACGAAAAAAAATGGCACGATAAAGATTAGGAATTTGTAAATAAACTTTTTTTCTCTCAGTTAAATTCACGAATAATTGAAGTACTGGAATACTTGAAATTAAACTTAATTTATAGATAAAATTTTTAAAGAAAGAAGAAAGAATTTATGTATGTATCTGTCCATCTATCAATACTTCAAAGAAATTTAAATGTTGTGAAAAGATTGGGTAAAAATTAAGGATTTGTAAATAAAATTTTCTTTTCAGTTAAACTCACAAATAGCTGAAGTACTCGAATATTAGAAATTAAATTTAGTTTATAGATATGATAATTTTTAAGGAAAAAAGAATTCATATGCGTGTGTGTCTGTTTGTCTGTCAACACTTAACAAATAAAACAATTCATTAATTTTAATGTAAATAACAATTCATTAAAATTTACTAAATAAAACAATTCATTAAAATCTATAAATGAAAAAGATTGTTAATCGTAAATATAAATTTATCATTTAAATTTGAAAATAATTCAAGTATTTGAATATCTGCAATTAAATCTTACTTATATTTTATTAATTTTTTTAATCATAATTTTTTTAATAATTTCAAAAATAATTTTAATAATTTTAAAGATAATTTTCATAAAAATTAAAAAATGAAATTGTGTGTGTGTGTGTGTGTGTGTCTGTCCGTATCTGTATACCTGTATATTTACCTGTCCGTATATATAAACAAGTGCTAATACTTTTTTAAATATTACAGCTATTCGCACCCTCAATCAACATTAGCTTATAACAAACAATTCTATCTATCTTGTTAGTTCTTACCTCTTCTCCGGTTACATCTTCTCCTGTTTACATCCGTAAAGTGGATTGATCTGATTGATATTAGCTATCTTCATAAATACATATATATATATGTATGTATAAATGTATATTCATTATTTAATTCGAATTTTGTTAATTATATCTATTTACATTTTGAAATTAAATATGATAAATGAAAGAAATGATTGAAATTTAAATATTGTTAAAATTTAATTTAAAATATTGTAAGAGGAAAAAAAAACGATAGATGAAATATTTTCAACAAATGTTGTTATCTTTTTGTTAAATTTAATTCAAATTTTGTCAATTTTATTTAATTACATTTCGAAATTAAAAAATGATAAAAGAAATGATTAAAATTTAAATATTGTTAAAATTCAATTAAAAATATTGCCCGAAAAAAAAACGACAGAGGAAATATTCTGAACAAAATGTTATTGTCTTCTGTTAAATTTATTGATTTAATTTAAATTTATTGATTTAATTCATGGATTAAATTACTGTAATGCATATAAATGTTCAACTTGAATTGCTATAGTTTGCTGTACTTTATAGTTTAAAATTTTAAAAAAGAAAAATCGTAAAACATTTCAAAAATCAAACAGTTTTACTTTTTTTCTTTTTTTTTAAAACATTTTCGTAAATTATCAAACATTTTTAGTAAAT